CAAACAGTTGTGTTGCACATACTGATGTTCGAATGACAAGCAGTCGTGTTGCACGTACTTGTGTGTGGATGACTAACAGTTGTGTTGCACATATTGGTGTGTGGATGACAATCAGTTGTGTTGCACATACTAGTGTTTGGAAGACAAACAGTCGTGTTTCACATACTGATGTTCGAATGACAAGCAGTCATGTTGCGCATACATGTGTTCGATTGACAAGCAGTTGTGTTGCATGTACTGATGTATGGATGATAAATAGTCGCGTTGCACATACTAGTGTGTGGATGATAATCCGTCGTGTTGCACATACTGATGTTCGATTGACAAGCAGTCGTGTTGCACATACTGGTGTGTGGATGATAAACGGTCGTTTTGCACATTCTGGTGTGTGGATGACAAACAGTCGTGTTGCACATACTGGTGTGTGGATGAGAAACAGTCGTGTTGCACATACTGGATTGGGGATGATAAACAGTCGTGTTGCACATACATGTCTGTGGATGATAAACGATTGTGTTGCACATTCTGATGTGTGGATGACAAACAGTCGTGTTGCACATACTGGTGTGTGGATGAGAAACAGTCGTTTTGCACATACTGGATTGGGGATGATAAACAGTCGTGTTGCACATACAGATGTTCTATTGACTAGCAGTTGTGTTGCACATACTGGTGTGTGAATGATAAACAGTCGTGTTGCACATACTGGTGTGTGGATGACAAACAGTTGTGTTGCACATACTGATGTTCGAATGACAAGCAGTCGTGTTGCACGTACTTGTGTGTGGATGACTAACAGTCGTGTTGCACATATTGGTGTGTGGATGACAATCAGTCGTGTTACACATACTAGTGTTTGGAAGACAAACAGTCGTGTTTCACATACTGATGTTCGAATGACAAGCAGTCATGTTGCGCATACAGGTGTTCGATTGACAAGCAGTTGTGTTGCATGTACTGGTGTGTGGATGATAAATAGTCGCGTTGCACATACTAGTGTGTGGATGATAATCCGTCGTGTTGCACATACTGATGTTCGATTGACAAGCAGTCGTGTTGCACATACTGGTGTGTGGATGATAAACGGTCGTTTTGCACATTCTGATGTGTGGATGATAAACAGTCGTGTTGCACATACTGGTGTGTGGATGATAAACAGTCGTGTTGCACATTCTGATGTGTGGATGACAAACAGTCGTGTTGCACATACTGGTGTGTGGATGATAAACTGTCGTATTGCACATACTGATGTGTGGATGACTAAAAGTTGTGTTGCACATACTGGTGTGTGGATGACAAACAGTTGTGTTGCACATACTGATGTTCAATTGAAAAGCAGTCGTGTTGCACATACTGGTGTTTGGATGAAAACCAATCACGTTGCACATACTGGTGTGTGGATGATGAACAGTCGTGATGCACATACTGATGTGTGAATGACAATCAGTCGTGTTGCATATACTGGTGTTTGGATGATAATCAGTCGTGTTGCATATATTGATGTGTGGATGACAATCAGTCGTGTTGCACATACTTGTGTTTGGAAGACAAATAGTCGTGTTTCACATACTGATGTTCGAATGACAAGCAGTCATGTTGCGCATACAGGTGTTCGATTGACAAGCAGTTGTGTTGCATGTACTGGTGTGTGGATGATAAATAGTCGCGTTGCACATACTAGTGAGTGGATGATAATCCGTCGTGTTGCACATACTGATGTTCGATTGACAAGCAGTCGTGTTGCACATACTGGTGTGTGGATGATAAATATTCGTGTTTCACATACTGGTATGTGGTTGATAAACAGTCGTGTTGCACATACTGATGTGTGGATGATGAACAGTCGTGTTATAAAAAACTTGTATATAGAATTGTTTGAATGTGTTTAGGACTCTCTAATAGCTTTACAATAATGTGCAAATGTAGTACACATGACTTATAGTATACAAATTATTATGTAGTGTGATTTTTATCCAAATTCAAGTTACTTGGAATAACTTCAAATGTAGACCATACTTACGTCGTGTGAGTCTTCAGAAGGTATAATGTATGCAATAATATTTCTACGTTCAATTTCTCGCATTTTCTTCCTCAAATCGTTGATCCTCGCAGTAGTATCAGTGGCAGTGGGCGGTAAATACTATGAGTAAACAATTGAAGTACAATGGATGTCATAGATACAGAGTGTGACATCCAGGGTTTAAGTTAGCATTTAAGAGGACTTGACAATAAAAATGGGGGTCAACTCTAACATTGGGGTCCGAAAAGCTGAATTTGGTATTAATACAATTCCCGGTGACGCGTCACAATTTATCTGTCGATATAGCGGTGAACAGAACGTGTGAAAAAATATATAAATGTACCGCTGGCATATTAAGCCAGTTAGCGAATAAAAGTCAACATGTTTGCTGTACTATACCGGGTTATAAGGATTGCTGCAGTCTCGAACCGTAGTAACGGATGAAGTACGCTTAGCACGGTGTCTTGATATACCATGGTTATATTCATCGGGAAGTGGGGCTGGTAATGCATTGCATGCATATAACACTGTTCAGAAAACATACAACTAGTGATTGGTTAAAAAATAGAAATTAACAAAATGAACACAAGAAACACATTTTGCCATGTCTTCAAAATTCAGGCAGTTACTATGGTGACATAATTTATATTCTCACTAAACTCTTTAGTGCATGACAGTTACTCGGTCAGTTTCTATTATGGATACATATACTATTAATGTTCAGAGAGAATAACACAGGCCCAGTAGAGATTAGTATTATCACGTCATCCCTCCCTGTCGACAGTAGGTATACGACGAGATATTCCTTATATAAACACAAACCGCATAGAAATGTGCAATATCGAATGGTATACCTGATTACCGCGAGGGGGGTTACTGATATTATATTATGCTTGCATTATTTTTCCCGACTTTTAGCGATGAAAACAACAATAAATGATCGAAACAAAGGCGAATTCTGGATGCGTCCGGATTAAAAAATAATGGCCTCATTCCATTATTTAAGATACACCGTAAGGTACCGGCATTACTAAAGACCACAGTTTGAAACTAGGTTCGTTTTCGTTGCGGAGTCTTTGCTATATTTGATTTTATCATAATAAACCTATTTTTGACGAAAATATCAGTTATCGAATAACACCTGTACCAACTACTACATCGCACAGACTTGTCAAACTTGTTGACTCCCAAAAATGATAATCTAGTATTAAAATACGGTATTCATATTCTGGGTAGTAATTTCAAATCTATACATTATGCATTATTCCTTATTCTAAGGCGGCCATAACTTCCTGTTTTTCGCTGTTCTAATTCTCACTAATTTCCATCAAATTACTTAAACTTTAGATAAAATAGAGTCTCTGCGTTCCTCTAGAAGATATACGGAGTATTCTTTTGTAAAAGCACATTTCAACTGATTGTAATGTCTTTTCTACAGTCTACGAACCAATATTCACTTCCGTGGTGAGGGTAGAGAATATATAGTAGTCATTAGACTCTTTCCCATTTTCTCTCATTTAACCATGGCTTGCATAAATCATACATCCTTCCATGCATAAATTAAAACGGTGTATCATCCAATCACATAATGTACGCATGGCACTGGTTCACTGATATAATATGAGACACAAGAACATATAACGTACACATTTCAGTCTTTATGTATATATACTGTGACTTTATACCTTTCAAATCTAAAACCTGGTTTTTGACTTGCATATTCATAGAAGGGTGTTGTGTGGTGTATATTCTCATGAAATTGGGTTTACTGGTTCTTTGAGATGTAACCTAAAGCGTTTACATGCCCTATAATTGTGCTGTCAGGTTCATATGAGGTTCAATAAGAATGGAGTACTATCGACTGGTCGTTTGAGGGCCATGGCCAGGAAGGGGTGTTCACTGCCCTTTCAAGTCCATACTCCTCATACTGCATTAGTTTCCCTTATAAAAACTCTTTTTTCATTCCTCACATTAAAATGATCGAATTGGTCAACAACGGATAAATTCTATAGGAAGATAAGGAACTGAAATGGAGTGTGGTTGTACTCAATCAACCAAATATAATTGGCCGAGGGCAATCCTAATTTGCATCAAGATCAGTTTTGTCAGGTTATTCACTAGCCCTGTAAGGGGAATACTCCTACAGGTGTTTTCAATGGCCCTCTGAGACGAATATCTGGAGAGTTGTGTTCAGCGACACTGTGAGGTAATTACCCGGTAATTTCACTGACCCCGGGAGAGGTGATTACTGGCACTATGAGGAACAACGCTCATGTGTTCACTGTCCAGGAAGAACATTTCTTCATCAACACATTATATTGGCTTATGTTACATACATATTTTTCGATGAGAATTTGATATGAGACTAAAATGTTAATGGCCAGTGTCACAGTCAACCTTTGTTCATTCACATAATTAAATCTATTAATTTTTCTATTTTTTTCTTCAAAACATGTAGTCAAGACCTGTAAGCAAAGTCTATTTGGGCCAAAATTCATTTCAAAAACTTGTTTAAAAGTACATAGAAGATTTCTACAACATAATGATGATGAAATATATTGTGGAATTGACAGATTTAAAAGTAATGCTCTGTTTATTGTATTAATTCACAGCTGTGAATATCCCATACGTCTTGTGTATGTCGTATGTAACCATACACCCTGTCACAGCTGTTGCTATTAGTATAATTCCAAAGGTCAAAATGTAAATGTACGAGCCCCCATTTGTCATCTAAGTAATGATAGGTCTTATAAACGATTGATGGTGTGTGTGGTATGAGAATCAGAACTATTAAATGGATGTTTGAAGATGGTCGTCTTTAACATTTTATATTACATTTCTCTATTCATCAAAAATTACACAGTGTAGTGCAGTGTAGTGCAGTGCAGCGCAGTGCAGCACAGTGCAGTATAGTATAGCTTAGTGTAGTCATGGAAGGTACTAACGTTAGTACCTTCCATGGTGTAGTGTAGTGTAGTGTAGTGCAGTGCAGTGCAGTGCAGTGCAGTGCAGTGCAATGCAGTGCAGTGCAATGCAGTGCAGTGCAATGCAGTGCAATGCAGTGCAGTGCAGTGCAGTGCAGTGCAGTGCAGTGCAGTGAATGTATATTAATTTAATTTTCATAAATACAAAATATGTATTGTAGGCTTTGTAATTTGCATAACACTTGACAATGACTTTTCTAATACATGTTTAATTTATGGAAACCTCCATCGGAAACAACTTTGGTTGGTGGCTAATTTCTTCAATAATCGAAAAAAAAGTATGTTTCCTCGTCAACTGCACACGTTGAACCGCGACTAAAGCTACTCAGCCAAGGTGCAAGGTCTAAATTACACTAGTCTAGCGGTATACAAAATAAGCCACAGTTAGCAACTGAACTTATAAATGCAACTTTAGAACTTACATTCTATATATGAATACAAGTGTGGCCGGTTTACAATTATTATAAAGACAAAATCTCAACGCTACTGACAATTTTAACTTGGATGTATCTACATTGTAAAACGATGAATGTATTTTGACACTGCAACTATTCTGCCTAGTACCTGTATACACAATAAAAGCTGACATAATGACGTCAGTTACACATCCTTCTGAATGGTTAAAGTTGTTTTCCTGTATTTTGTATTTTTAATAATGTCGATCTTGTTTAACGGAAACGATTCAATAAGAAATATCAATCTAAAAGTCGACATATCACTGATTCAGTGCTTCGGCTGGCGAGATAAGATGTTTCACATGTTAATATGCAGCGTGTGAGATGATGTGAACTCAAACTAAATAATGTGTAGGGAGATAAAATAACGTAAGTCCATATATATTCGACGTTTCTGACCACCCACGTGATATATTCGTCTCGGGTATCAAATGCTCGGTATGCAAATATTTGATATTTAAATGATAGAATGCGACTAATAGATTGACCCTCTAAAGTGGCCTATATATGTTTCATGTCTGCTGACTGTGCATTACAACTGCCGATTACAGATCCATACCGCATCTAGTATGATCATAGCAATATATAAATGTATTGAAAACAGCTAGATAAAACATAAAATATCGACCAATGACAAGCAGATTGGTATCATGGATTGAGACAAGTTGCAGGTGACAAAGAGAATAAAACTCTTTCGATAACATCGTGGAGTGCTGCGTTGGTAATAGAAAAACATCTGAAACAAACTCAAGGAAACTCCCAAATCACGGTGACAATGTCTCTCACATGTCACTTTCCACTTCAAGATTTCTAACCCACAACTACTACATCAATACTGATCCGTAAAGTGTACTGTGGCTTTGATGTAAGTATGACAAATTGTTTAGTATGATAGTATACAATCGCCACAATTGCGTGATATTGAAATCGACGACGATGATTGTCAAACGACACTGTAATGATCGTATTAATGACGAGCTAGCAATCGGAATTTTAAATAATTCAACAGATAGAGTTATAGGATAAATCTTACCGCATACTATACGCGTCAGTAACGTCCAATGTTTTCTTGGCATGACGTTCAGTTTTGCTTGGTATTCTCACGTGATTGAAGTTGTCTGATGAGTTCCAGCCAATAACACAGTTACAAAAGATATGACTGTTCTAGTTGATTTACTAATATAACCATTTAATAACAATTGTTCCGGTCACTGAAGATATCAGCCGACAATTTGGCATAAACTATGTGCATCCGTCCTTACATACGATGAGACCTATCACATGACACACAGTCGTCAGCGCAATTTAACCTTTAACCTTAAGTAAGACTTCAAGTCATGCAGCGGGTATATTAAGTTTGTTTGTCAGTTAAACAATATAGCCTTGCTTTCGGCTCTCAAAAGAAACCGATACATCAAATATATCGCACATAAGTCATCAAAAACATAATTTAATACTTTGGAAATTGGATAACCCGAACAAAATGCCTGGAGATATTCCTTATTTGCTTAAAAATGTACAAAAACTAATAACACTCGGAGGAAGGGGTCGCTATCGTTAATATCTTATTGTGAGATATGTATTTATTTCATTCATTTACAGTATTTTTAGTATTTCCTTTTATTTTAATTTTTTTATTATTACATGTTTTTGACTACTCACTCACTCACTCACTCACTCACTCACTCACTCACTCACTCACTTACTTACTTACTTACTTACTTATTGCTTGACGTGTGCAAAGCACATCCGAGTACTAAACAGCTGGTCACATATTCTTGCAAGTGTTCGTGCGAACCAGATTTCAAGACTGAATACCGCTAGTCTAGAAAGCTATAAACTATAGTGTGATTTATATTGGTGTGGGAGGGGCCCACAATCTTATTGACGCTAGGCTAACTCGCTAACGAGTGCACACTCGCCCGGACTAGATCAGACTCAGTGCCTGAACAAGCCTTAATCCTTCGACAGCCAACATTTTGCTATAAATAGTTAAATGAACTGAATTGTCTATTGCCAATTATAACGTGATAAAATAGCAAAGAAGGAATGTGTGCAATAATGAACGAGACGCATCAGGGTTCATTATTTAAGCGAGCATTCCTGTCCGAATCTTGCACAATTCTTTATTTCAATTGTAATACCTCAAAATGTCGTTAAAATGAATTTACGTTTGGCAAGAAAGGAACCATCCGTGTATAATTAGCGAGTGGGATACATGCGCAACCCCAAGCACAACCGTCTTACCGTCTATTCACGTGGTACTGATCGACCAATGAGAACACGCCGTTGTAAGACATTGTGTTATAATAATACATATATGAATATTGTGATATCAAAGCAACAACGCATTGAAACAAACAAAAAATGCAATCTTGCCTCATTAAAATATTAGAAAAACTGTGGAGATATAGTATGAATTCGATTCAAAATAATGATGAGACAAACTATACACCTCGAAAGTTAAAATTACTATTATTAATATTAGTCTGTCAGAATATTATAAACCCTAATATAGTGCACTACACTATTGAGATGGTTGCAAATAATAAAATTGAAAGGTTGCGATACTGCGAAGCTTAAAAAAATGCTTGTTCCACAAAACTGGAGCGACGACGGAAAAAATTCCGCCGGCCATATGTTGGTCATGTCGCCATGACCAGAGAGGGCGTACACTTACAGGGTAACACACGGATTTGGCTTCTCTCGGCATTCACTAAGAATAAGATAAAAATGTGGAGCCGTTTTATAATTGGTCTAATGTAGTCATTATTTTAACCGAGCTCCTGCGTTTTTTACGGATTGAGTTCGGTCTAATTATGCTGTGGTATGGTATGCGAGAGTGAATTAATCAGTAATCTAATCTGGAGTGAATAAGTTTTTCTGTCAGTGATTTAGATTGGAAAGACTTAATTTTCAGTGCAATTCAATTGCAAATTTATTAACTTCAGTTAAAATGCAATCCTATATAGGCAAGAAATTTAACTGCAGTTTAATTAATCTGTATCTAGTTACAATACCTTGTTGAACTTAGTTCAATTCAATTTTACTTTAAGTTAAATTTAATTTAACGCTATTAGTGTAAATAGATGGGTATGTATATAGCAAAAAACTAGCAAAGCCAAAACATTTGTTTTATAATTAAAGGCTCACATGATGTAGTAGAGTACATGTAAAATAGCAGGTTTCTGTGCAAAACATGATAAGAGTTCAATTGTTCATTTACAGTAATCTCTTGCGTCTTGGATAAATACGACAAATTAGATACTGGTCGATAAATATTCATTTTATTTTGGTCAAGTGACAGTTTCCGATCGCAGTCCCGATCGCAACATGTAGTTCACTGTGATACGTACAAGAAACAGATGCTATTTCCTCAGGTAATTGGTCCATGGTTATTCAATAAAAAAGAAGTTGTTTAACACATATACGCTGTGACAAAACCAAACTCGCGATCGGACTGCATTAAAATCAATTTAAACTCACCAAATTTGTAGTATTACTTAAAATTAGTCGTTAACGTACAGCAACTCGGATACCAACGGTAGTGAACGGCCTGTTTGAGGCTAGGTTTTAGTAAACGTTCGTCATATTTAAAAGCTGACCAGTTCTTGTTATTTTAGTGCCCGATGGGAAACATTTATTTGTAAGGCTGTGGCTGGTCGTCTCTTAATACGGTGCAGTGTGACAAATTTGTTTGTCAGTGACAAATAAGAAAAGCACAAGTGATTTCATATTTTCTTTTACTATTTCTTCCGATAATGCATGATTGTACAAATATAAACAAAACCAAGTAATTGTTAAAAAAATATAATACTAATTGAGTTTTTAACAATAGGGTAAGAGTAGAAAGTTAAAATAACACAAAATCAAATTGGTGTAAAGACAATTGAAGTTATCGTCATTATATGAACAAATCTACTAAAACAACATGATCATTCTAGAGATTAAGTCGAGAACGTAAAAAGTTAAGTAACTCAGTTAACTCAACTGCTAAAAATTCTAATTGATTGATTGATTGATTGATAGGATAACGGAAATTACACCCAATTAAAATGTGTAGAAAAACATGCCATGGTTATCAAAACGGTAAAACTGATAGCGCCAGTAGTGGCATCAGATACGTTTTCGTTTGGAAGTGGGATGTGTTGTGTGTGCTCGACCAACCAGTCGTAGGCTTCTGGGTTGATAGCTTTAACCCTTGGACCAACAAGTTCCAATGTAAGCCGGTTGTACTCATTTAGCCAATCAACCTATGCAAATTTAATAGAAATATATATGTATTAATAGTGTGATTTGTATGAGATGATGATGTTACCAGACAACACATGACAAATAATTACATCTATGTAATCAGATTGTATGAAGTTACATACAATTATGTTCAGGTCATACACACATATACATTCATGTCATGTCAGATTAATGAAGAAAATCACAACCCGTAAACAGGTCACATTGAGATGATTTCAATCATGTTATCAGGTCACATTAAAATAATTAAAATCATGCAATCAGGTCACAGTAAGATAATTACAATCATGTAATCAGGTTACATTAAGATGATTACAATCATGTAATCAGGTCACATTAGAATGATTACAATCATGAAATCAGGTTACATGATAAAAGAAGAGGACAAAATAACAATTATGTAATATGGTTGAATGAAGCGAAACACATTCATGTAATCAGTGTAGAGAAAGAAAGCCTATATCACGTCACATGTACGTCTAGTACATAATATTTATGTTATGTGTCTGTCAATGAGATATACATACCTGGTGACGGTCTAACAATTCAAATTT